CCCCCTCCCCAGCGTCCTGCTGGAGCTGTGCAGCCCCTGCCCTGCCAGGGGGGTGGCACAGGAGCCCGGGGCTCCAGCAGCTCTTCCAGCTGTGCTCTGACACCTCTCCCGTGAGGAGCTGCAGCCCATCCAGCCAGGAGCAGCATTCCCTGCTGGAAATGTCCCTGCAGGGGCTCCTCACTGCCTGTCCCTGCAGTGCCACAGGCTCGGTGTCCATGTCCAGCCACTCCCTGCCCTGATTACTAATTTGGACTCGTTAATCTGCATTTCAAGCTGTATTTTGTACTTAGCACCTCATACCCAAGACTCCCTCAGCTCTAAGTATCCATCAAATCCTTGCTGGAAGATTTTTCTGGAGCTGACCAGCCTGGCCTGAAGGGGGAAAAGGAGCTGGTAAAGCACACCTGGAGACCTGGCACTGCCCAGGAGCTCCGGCACTGCCCCAGGTGCTTCCAGCTGCACAGCTGTGCTGGGCAGGGACAGTGACACGGAGCAGGGACCCTGCTGTCCCTACCCACACTTCCCCTCCCTGCTCTAGCCCTGCCCATTTCCCCCTCCTTTGCTCTCCTGTCAGCCACAACCACGGCACTGCACATCAGCAGGTCAAGAACCACAAAATGCTGGAGGAAAACCACAAGCAGAGGGCAAACCTTGCACAGGAACTCCGTCCACGAAGCCACGCTTCCCCTGCATCCCTGCTGTGACCAGTTCCATCAAACATGCACTCATTGAAGTATTACACATGAAGAAAGCAAGCAGCACTCAGGCTTATGCTGGCAACAGGTCACAGCAGCACAGAGGTTTATTTCAAGGCAGGAGAAGAGCAATTGCAGCCTCAGGCTTTGATCAGGGCCCGTTAGTGTGGCACTACCAACTACCTGGTGCAGTTACCAGAGCCCCAGAGCTGCCCCAAGCCCCAGGTTACACCACATGCAGCCACTCAGAGCAAATGAATTCATTTACCCATGACCAAGGTGGGGAATATGACCTTCTCACGCCTAGTGGAGAGAAAGGGAAAGTTTATGCACACAAAAATGACATTCCTGAGCACAGCCCTTGAGGCAGCAGCTGGGCCAAGCCAAGGTGCTGGACCAAAACTCTCCTGCCTGAGCCCTGCTCTGCATGGGCAGCCAGCACAGCATCACTGCACCCGAGGCAGCACAGCTCCCCTCTCCCAGGGAAACCTTGCACAAGGTGGGTCAGGGCCTGAAAAAGATTCCCCAGGTGTATTCTGGTCAGGGCTGGGGGTAACAGTACAGAGACACCCCTGACTGCTGTGTGTGAGCACAGGCAGTTCTCACACTAAACTTCAGCTTGTTTCATTGAAACAGAGCCCAGGGGGTTCACAAAACCAGCCAAGAATAAACAGCAGCTATGAGGGCACTGCAGGAAGGGGAACAAGCACCTCCGGCTGGCTGTCCCAGGGCCCTGCAGAGCCCAGAGCACTTTTGATTCCTGGACAAAACTGGACTGACATTAACAACCAATTAAAAACAGCAAAATACAGGTATCCATCCTGAGGATCTATCCTCGGGTGCTGTTCTGCCAATCCCTGGCATCTGGACAGAACCTGCTCCTGAAGGGACAAATCTGCAGGAAACTGATCTTACACCAGACCCTGCTGAGTTTTTACCAAGCAGGTAAACCCTGGGTGCCCCAGCTCTGCAGCCAAGCTTTGGTGCAAGCCCTGCTGTGCTCCAGGCCTGCCCTAAAGCAGTGCTCCCCTCCGAGAGCAGGGCCTTGACAGCAGCTGGAGACACCTCAAATATTTCACTGCAATGGCAGAAGGAGCTGTAAAGGTGTGGCTGAGCTCTCTCTGCCCAGCCCAGCACTCAGCCACCACCAGCTGCTGCTGCTGGGGCCGTGGCTGCAGGCTGAAGCAGGGCTGCACTCACAGCTGGAGCAGGGTCACACTCACACCTGGAGCAGAGTCACACTCACAGCTGGAGCAGAGTCACACTCACAGCTGGAGCAGAGTCACAGCTGGAATAGAGTCACACTCACACCTGGAGCAGAGTCACACTCACACCTGGAGCAGGGTCACAGCTGGAATAGAGTCACACTCACACCTGGAGCAGGGTCACACTCACACCTGGAGCAGGGTCACAGCTGGAATAGAGTCACACTCACACCTGGAGCAGAGTCACACTCACAGCTGGAGCAGGGTCACACTCACAGCTGGAGGAGGGTCACACTCACATTTGGAACAGAGCTGCACTCCCAGCTGGCTCAGGGTGCCCTCCCAGCTGCCCCTGCCCCAGCACAGCCACCACATCTGCCAGGGCCAAGCCAGGCTTTGCACGGCAGCCCTGGAGCACAGCTCAGCACTGCCAGCCCCTCCTGGGCACAGGGGACCTGAGGGGACAGCCCGGGGCTCCAGGGGACAAGGACAGCACAGGGGCCTGCAGCATCCCTGGCACTTGCACATGAGCCACTTCCAGCCCTGCTCCTGCCCACTGCCACCCTGCCTTCCAGGCTCTCCAAGCCTTCCTCAGCCCCAGGCTGCTCCCCCCTCCAGGCAGCCACTGGGTAAGGCATGTGATGCCAATCTGCATAATTAAAAGTGACTTATTTGTCACACCACACCTCAATATAGCCACGCTGCCTGCTAAGAGCTGCCATAATCCCCCCCTGCACTTCCCTGCTCCCTGGAGCTGCAGGAGCACTGCTGGGGGAGGCACACCCCCAGCCCAAAAGGCTGATTTGCACATGACTTCAAGGCTGGGAATTCCTCCTTTCCAAAAGCAGCAAACAGCAGTGACTCCAGAAGCCCTCAGTGCCACTTTTTAAGGTGCAACTTGCCCTCCTCCCCACACAGCCCCACTGAGGATGAATGTGGGGAGCCCAGCTGGCTGCTCTGGCGCTTCCAGGCTGGAAACAACTCGTTTCATTCTCTAAATAAATGCAGGATTGAGGAAGTGCTGAGTATTAAAGTGCACTGAGGTTTAACATGAAGACATGCGGGCTGCTGGCTGTGCTCTCCACCCGACACCCACAGGGCCCTGTGCTGTGAGGAGCTGGGCAAACCCTCCTGCAGAAGCACTGCCAGCATCCCAGAGGGAGCTCTGGGCACGCCAGACACAGCTCTGGCTCCCAGGAGAGCCATCCCTGCCTCCTGGCTGGCTCACAGCAGGGAGGAGCCCCAACTCCAGCACCAGTGACCATCCCTCCCCGGCAGGGAACAGCCCTGCCTGCCCTCTGCCCTTCCCCAAGCACACCTGCAGCTTGGGCCACCCTCCAGTGGTGCTCTCAGATGTTCTCAGATGCTCACTCCTCACTGCCTGGGTTGGCTCCAGCCACCAGGGGATGGGGCAGGACTGGCACTGCCACCCCAGCCCTGCTTTTGTCCCTGCTCCGCAGGAATCCCCTGCAGCTTTGCTCCAGGCTGCCTCTCCTGCAGGAGGAGAGGCGTGCTGGGCTGAGGAGGCACAGCAGAGCCCCAGGGCCGTGCCCAGACTCACCCCTTGTCGAAGAAGGACGTGTGCCCGGGGTGTGGGTACTTTGTGCCATTGCTGCTCATCACGGCGCTGCCCACGGTCCCTGAAATGTAGGATTTCCGTGATGCCTGGTCCTTTGCAAAATTCCTGCAAGCAGCTAATTTGGATTCTAAGGCCTGTGAAAGGGGAGGGGAAAAAACAGCATTAAAGAAGTAATACCATTAAGAGGAAGTTTCTTGCTGCTCGTGAGCCCAAGATTGCCATGATAGGATTTCAGTGTGATCACCCTTGGCAAAAGAATGGGAACAAAGCTGTCATTTCCTCGTCACCCAGCCACAAAGGAAACACACAGATGCTGATGCAGACTGCCAGACATTACTCAGCTTCACGAGCGCTCAGATTCTAGCACAGACGAGCTCTGAAATAATTACCCAAGATAAGGAAGCCAAATCCTAGCAAAAGTTACCCAAACTTGCTTCAGCAGCTGCCTTGAGCTGATCAGAACACTGAGAGCCTAAAGCAGAACCCTCAAGCTTTGAGAGGGGCTGTGCACATGGAAAATTGTTTTTTTCACCAGGACAATGTCACCTGGAATTTCTTTCTTAGTCTTGGCTTGCAAAATAAAGTCAATTTCTAAAGCTTCACTGCCACTCTTCCAAAAAAAAAAGGTGATTTTATTTTTTCCCCATGTAAAGTGACAGTGACTCCTGGAAGGAGGAGCAACATCCTCATTCTTTCCTTTAGCTCAGAACATCTCCTGCACATTCTGCCACCATCAGAGGCTGAGTACGCCCCTTATCCTGAATATCCAGGTGGTGTGGCAGATGTCCTCACTCCTTACAGCCCCTGGGCACGGGGCCTTCAGCACATTGCAAATGCCCCCACTGGAGACTGAAATTCATCCCCCCAAACGTGGGGCTTGTCCTGTTCTGCACAGAATATTCCATCAGGAGGGCACTGACATGCTGCCACGGGTGAGTGAGCCCTGTGCAGACCCCTGGAAGTTTATTTAGGGGTGATGGACTCCACAGGCAGCTGTGGGTGACTCTGGTGTCACAGAGTGTCCCCTGGGCACAGGCAGTGTGACCTGAGCCCTGTCCCACTGCAGGCAGGAAAGCAGAGGGGAAACTTCCCACAGAGACAGGAGTGTAAAGCTTGGAGGGATGAGGCAGAGACCAACCCCAAAAACCTAAGCACCCCTGACTGCTGCAGAGGCACAGCCCAACCCCAAAGAACCTGAGCACCTCTGATTGCTGCAGAGAAGTGCATGAGGCACATCCAAACCCCAAAGAACCTGAGCACCTCTGATTGCTCCCAGAGCAATACATGAGGCACAGCCCAAACCCCAAAGAACCTGAGCACCTCTGATTGCTCCCAGAGCAGTGCATGAGCTGCAGCCCTGTCTGTGTGGCTCAGGGCAGGCTGGCAGAGCAGCTGCTTGTTTGGCATTTCCTGTCCTGGCAGAGTAATCACAGGGATTGTCACTAAGCTGCCCAAATCCCCTGCAGACTCTTACTCACAATGATCCCCTTTGAAACGTGTCACTGCCAACCCCGACTGTCCTGCTGCCCTTTCAGAGCGGGGCTGGGCTCAGAGGGGAGCAGCCAGGCTGGTTTCCACGTCCAGCTCTGCTACAACAACTGTCTGTAGTGCAGCTCCTGGCAGCTCAAAAGCCATTTCTCCTTCCAAGGGGAGAGCCTGGGTCCTGAAGAGCCCTGCAGCAGATGTTCAGAGCAGTTCTTCCCTGCTGACAGTGTAATAATCCCTTTAAAGGCTCAAGCATTTCACTTCCCCACCAACCACACATTGGGAGCATTTGGCTTTCTCCTCATTTATTCCCTCACTTTCTTACCAAACGTTTCCAGGCTGGGTTTTCTTTCAGTGGTAGATCTCAGGGGGTGAGGAGCTGTGCCACCCTGGCAGGGTGAGCCCAGCTCCTCCTCACCTGAGCTCCAGCTCTGCAGCCCAGGCAGAGGAAGCTGCAGGCCCAGCTAAGATCAGAACTAAGTTGGCAGTGTCTAAGCCAGCACTTGAAAAACTTGTATTCCAAATATGAATTTTGTCACCCCAAATGGGATTCAGAACTATAGGATCAGACTTTAAAAATCAAAATAATTAGAAAAAAAACTAAAATAAAGCATTATCAAATACTAAGCAGTGGATGGATGATTTGGCAGCTCCAGACTGTAGCCAGCACTGTACCAAGGCTGTGCCTGAGCACAGGGACAGGAGCCCCAGGGAGAGCCCAGAGCTCAGAGCACTCACCCCCACTTTGCGTAGCAGATCTCCCACAATGTTGAGTGCAGATATTCGAGCTGAAGGAGTGAGTGGGCTGGTACCAAACCCATTTGGTATAGCTGCAAACACAGACACCTCTTATTACTTCACTCCTCCACAGTTCAGGTTTTCCAAAAATTTAAATAAATCACCTTCTACATTAAAAAAAAAAAAAACCCAAACATATCTACAATCTTGCTGCAGACATTTCATACAATTGCCCACAGTAACTGCAGGATCACTAGCTAGAGAAAATGATAAAGCTTAACTCCTGCCCTGGCTGCCACTCCCCCCCAGGCAGAGTTCATGCACTCTCCATCTGCAAGGCTACTGACTGCAATCCATCTGACCAGCCAGAGCTCCCTTCCTCAGCTGAAACACCCAGGATTAATCCCTGCCACTGCCCAGAGCCCTCCAGATGGGAGAAGGGGCTGGACTAAGATCCCACTGCCCCACAGAGGGAACAGGACCCCTGAGAAGTCACTGTGGTGACAGATTCCAAATTGCTGACCATGCTCACCCACAATTGCTGCTGCAGTAGCAGAATTATCAGTCCCTGCACTTCCCTGCATTCCCAAATATCTTCAAGGCTCCACAGCAGAGTGAAAACCCCTGCCTGCCCAAGCCTCACTGTCCTCTGCCATGCAATTTACTCCTGATTTACTCCTGAGATGCACCTGCTGCTGCCCTGGGATTCAACCACAGCTCATGGAGGAGTGTGAGATCCACACCCCCACGTCCACCTCGGGCTCCTTAAGGAGCATAACCAGACCCCACTCCTGTGGAAGGTACCTTTTGGGGAAGGAAAACTATTTTCTGATCCTTTTCCAACGGGTGTGGCTGGCAAGGAGAGAGAGGCCTGGACAGCTGAATCCATCTTCTCACAGTCCAGCGTGGGCGAGCTGGGCGCTGATTTCCGGGTCACCTCCTGCTGCCTTTCCCTCACAGCCAGCTCCTGCCGTAGGTCTGAGGGTTGAGAGAAGGAAAAAACCCCACTAAATCCCATACTAGTGATTGATTCTCTCACAGACACTGCTCATTTGGGAGGGGCAGCAGCAGACACTCCCCAACAATCCTGGGTTGGTGCCTGCTGCTGCTTCCTCCAGCAGCAGGGACAGCCTCAGAGCAGCCCCATCCCAGTATCCCATCCCAGTATCCCATCCCAGTATCCCAGCCCAGTATCCCAGCCCAGTATCCCATCCCAAAGCAAAGCCCCACACAGCTCCCCGTCCCTGGGATGGGGACAGCTGATTTGCCTCAGGATTTCTCCCCATTTGCAGTGTGAGCTCCACGTTACCAAAGCTGCAGCTGGACACAAAATGCTGCTGCTGCTGCTGCTGCTGAGCCCAGCTCCTGCTCAAACACAGCCTGGAAAAACAGTGCAGGGACCTGACCCTGTGCTCCCCATTCCAAACATTCTCCTCCCAGTTAATAATCCAACAAGACAAAGGCAGTCCAAGGGTTACATCCAGTTTCTTGATGCCCTGACAAATAAAAGAGCACATTGCAGGGCAGTCCAAAGGACAGGGAAAAGACTGGGCTTAGAAAAGCCAGGCTTTACTCTCACCTCCTCCCCAGACTGCAGCTTATCCCTTCTCTTCCCACAGCTTTTTGCTACAGAGAACACCCAGCACAGCCCAGCAATGATCTCCCTAATCCTCAGAAAGAGGCACACAAACATTACAAGTGAGCTGTTCCTTTCTGGGCAGAGCAACTTCATTTTCTCAGACCTCTTATTCCTTATTCTTATTCCTTGCCTCGATCTGGCACAAAAGCAAAATTAACTGCACATCACAGCTTTTAAGGTGTAACAGATATTTAGAGCTGATTGTAGGTAAAACAGCAGAGCTGAAGTGAAAATCTGTCTGGGCTCCCAGAAGAGGATCTGAGGCTGTTCAATCAGAAATGTCATATTTGAGTTTGACAGTACCAGTTCTTTTAGAGGCTACTGTTCCTGCTTGCTGCCAGGGGGAATAACTCACAAATGCTAAAAATGTCCAAATGACTCATCTAAGAAACAAGATGTCTGTTTTGCTGATTGTTCCAGTGTTCTACAAAACAGTCCCCTGGGTTTTGCTGGTTTTTCCAGTTTTCTCTCCCTAATATCAAATTACAATACATATCCTTCCTCAGAAAGTTTCTTTCTTTATCTTTATTTCAAAATCCCAGTGCTTCCAATAAAGCTCTCGACTTCTGGGGCACAAATTTGCTTCAAAAAGGTTCATAAAGGAGAACAGCAACAAAAAATCCCAGCCTGCTGTCAGGTGTGTTCTTGCACTCAGCTCCAGGCCTTAAATGAGGAAATATTTTAGAAAGCTCCATTTAGGGAACAAAGTTGCAAACCACCAACTTCTACAGCCATTATTGGCTGGCACAGGCTTAAGAGCAGGTCACCTCCACTGTCAGAGAAATCAGTTTACAGCAGCACCCTCAGTGTGAAATCCACTGGGGAACCCCCAACTCCTGATCCTATCCCAGAAGACCATCCCAAACATCTCCCACAGTCTAAACACAGCCTTTACCAGAATATCTTACATTATATATTTAAGGCAATTTCCAAGGGGCTTAGAAGGAACACAGGAGAGATTTTTTTAAGAGTTACTTGATCATTTATCCTGTATTTCCCTGTCATTTCCTGTGCTTTCCCCTCCTGTAAACACACAGCAAGAGGAACTTCTGAAGCAACTTCCTCAATTCTCTTATATCTGTGGAACAGAGTATTTTTGTGTTAAAAATCCTGAATTCATCAATTAGTAATTCTGCCCTAAATGAGGACATTTTTTTTTGGCTACACTGGACATACAAAGTTAGTACTGTTAGTAAAACCCAAAGCATCCAGTTCAAGTCTCATCATGTGAGGCTTTCTAGAAACATGAGCTTTGCTGGCAGCACATCTCTTTTAGCAAACCAACCCTGCAGCAGGAGCCAGAACCAACCAGACCAGCCATACCTCTTGCTTCATCCTTTAATCTCTGTACAGAGACCAGCAATGACTCCTTGTCATCCAGTTCACTTTCTAAAAATGCATTTCTCTCAATAGCTTGGTTCAGCCTTTGTTCAAAGTCTTCCAATGAAACTATTGTTGCCCTAGAAACAAAATCCAGAATATTAGGTTCTTCAGCTCAGCCAGCATAAAAGCTTATTCAAAAGCATAACAGAAGGCAAATGTTAGCAGGGCTGTGCTCAAGGTAAGCATTTGAAGCCATGGAAATGCTTCTTAGAAAGGAGGAATCAAAGAAACAGGAGAAAAAGATGAGAAGAACACGATAGCATCTGGCTCTCAGAGATGAACCAAGGATGTGGCAGGAGCCAGCCCAGAGCTCCTTTTCCCCAAGCCAGGCATTAATCCGTGCCCCAGCTCAGGTGGGGCTGTGCTGCCAGGGCTCTGCACAGGCACACCCAGCAAGGTGGGCAGCAGGGACATTCCTCCCAATTCCTCCCAAAACCAGTGGCAAATGTTGGTCATGAGCTTAAGAGCCTTGTGCAAACAAGGCTCAGCTCTCAGATCTTCTTTCCAGATGGCCAGAGGCTCATTCCTGCTCTCCCTGCATCAATGGCAGGATTCCCAGCCAGCAGAAGGGAAGCAGGACCTCCTCCCAGGCTGGGTGTTCCCAGCAGCAGCCGGCTCACTGCAGCACTGGGAAGGGCAGGACTGCTCCCTGCAGCTGCTCTGCAAGGCACCAGCAGCCTGCCCTGGCCTGGCTGATCTCAGGGACTATGGAAGCAGCAGACTCTGACTTCAAAGGGGCTCTGAGGCAGCAGGGGCACAGCTACAGTCACCTAGCTGGGGGCACCAAGGGCAGGGCACTGCCCGGCTGGCTCTGGGCTTGCTCCTCACAACACCAACCAGGCTGCCCCACTGCCCTTCCTGCTGCCACAGGAACCAGCTGATGGTGAGGGGCAGCTGCACTGCCCAAACAGCCCCAAGTCTTGGGGGTGCTTGGGGTTTTTCTGATTGTTCTTCTCCCTTTAAGGAACAATGACATGCTCGAGCTGAGTAGCAAAGAAAAGCTCTTTGTGGTGCAGATGTGAAGGGAAGAGGAGGGTTGCAGCCTTCACCTCTTGGCACGTTCCAGGTCATCGTTGGCCTGCTCCAGCTCCCTCACATATTTGTGCAGCTGATCTTTGATGGCCCTTGTCTGGCTCAGGTCATCCTCCAACAACGACACCTGCTTGTAACTCTGGGCGTACTGGTGCTCCAGTTTCTCCTGAAACAAAGAGCAGGGAGATAAACATCAGCTGCTGGCACTGGCCAAGCCATCAGCACCAAAAGGGGACAAAAAGTGTCACTCTGTGTGCACAATGCTGGTCTGGGAGCGCTGGCAATTCACAGCAGAAACCGGAGAGGGAGAAGGAACAGGCTGTGAACGTCAGAGCTGGCCAGAGCTCAGAATGGCACAGCTGCCTCCCAGGGATGCAGCCCTGCATCTGCTCCCCTCAGCCTGCACTGACAGCTGCTCCAGGAAGGCAGGGAGAGATCCAAGTGCACTGCCTCCCCCTGTGTGCTGCCCTGCAGCAGAAATCCTCTGATGAGTCCTTTGCCAAAAAGGGGCAGCACCCACCTGACAGCAGAAATCCTCTGATGTGTCCTTTGGCAAAAAGGGGCCACTGAAATCTGTCACAAAACCTCCAGGCCCACAGACTCATCCTCAACAGACTGAGGAATTCACTGCCAAAAACCCTCTGAGTGCCTATGGAGCAACTCCTGAGCTCATACAACACATCCTGACCCTGCAAGTACAGCTGGGACTGGAGACACAAAGCAATCCCATAAACCCTCCTTCCACTGAGTGAATTTCTAACCTCTGCCTTCACTAAATAAGCCAAGACTGCCCAAAATGATGCTTTTGCAAGATTTCAAGAGAGGCAAGAACTTGTTAACACAAAGGCATCAGCTGAGAGCTACCTTGTGCACATGCACATCTCTCAGCAATTCCTGGCTCCACAGATACAGCTCTGAATAGACGTGGAGACTCCCTGGAAGATGTGCACAAATCACCCATTTCTGCTTTCTTTGGGGTCTCATAAAACCTAGGAGACCCTGAGGGCAACAAGACTTTTTGCAAAGAAAGGTGACAAGGCAGTGGCCTGACAAAACCCCTTGTGTTGTGCCCTGTTGCTATGCTGACGTTCCCTGTGGAATAAATAAAGCTCCTCCTTGGCACAGCCTGGGGAATTCAAAGCAGCACAAACTCCAGGACAAAGTTTCATGATGTGAACAAGAAAATTCTGCCAGAAATGTCCCTGGCCTTATTTGGGGTACATGCCATGCTTCAGTGTGGATCTTAACCAGACAACTCCATTTTTATTTGGATATCCAGTGCCAGAAAGCAGCCCAGACGATCCAAAAAGAGATCCAAGACGTAGCTGAAAGGAAAAGCAACACCACCACAGAGAAAACCTACCTTTAATGTTTCCACTTCATATTTCAGTCTTTGGTTATCTGCTTGCAAATCTCTGTTCCTCTGCTCAGCCTGCACTAGCTGTGCCTCCAACTCAGCCTCCAACTCCCTGCTCCCCTCCTGGAACTCAGCCAGCTCTTCACGGGCCTCCTGGAAGCTGCAAGGAGAGGACTCATCAGTGAGAAAGCCAGCATCTCCCCAGTTAAAACAAAACCTGCAGCTCTTCTGAAATAAAAAGCTGAGAACACGGAGTTTTAATGCGCTTAAGTGTCATCCATGGACCTCTAAGGGGAAAAAGAAGAATGGGAAAATAGAGAAATTACATTAAGCAAAGCTATTGAAGGAAATTAATTCTCTTACAACAAACCCAACAGCCACCTTGAATGCCTGTGTGGAATCAAAGCCATTTCCAGGATTCAAGGGAGCCTAGAAGCACTTTGTGCTCCATTAGCTTTCAGTGCTGGCAGACTTTATGGAACAGACAACGAATTAAGCAAACATTGAACCAGATTTTGGTCAGCAACTGAAGAGAGAACAGTTTCTGCATCTCTGCACTCGCTGGAAAATTAAAGTTTGTAAAAATCATGCAGAGTCAGGGAGGCAGGACATGCCTGCCGCATACCACTGTGAGTTATTAAATACCAGAAGTAGCCACTCCACATACTCTGCTTATTAAATTTGCACCTTTACCACACGTAATAGCTCAGCCCTGAGCAAGCAGCAGAGAAAACCACCGAGGCTTTGGGCAACACCACATCCAGTGGTGCCTCAGATGGAATTTCTGACACACAAGAACAGCTTTGGGTTCTCCACACGGACAGGCCCCTCCACATTCCCAACACGTCCCTCCCAAAAAACCCCAAACCAAACAAAAACAACCACTTGGAGCTTGGGCTCCTTGGCCTTGAGAGGGATTTAACTCCAGAAAAACCTCAGCCCACCCCCCAGTCCCTCCTGCTGCACAGCACTGCTCCTGGAGCAGCTTCTCTTGGCACTTTTGGAAACAAAGCCCTGTGTCCCCTTGGAGATGCAAACCATGGGTACAGGCAGGACCAGGAGCTACGAAACGCTGAAATAAAATGCAGCAGACACCAAATCAGGCACTTTTCATACCAGTAATTCTCCTACAAGAAGCTTGAGGGAGCAGGAAAAACACAAGGCAAGCCCAAAGGCGCCTTCTTGTGATAAAACATCAAGATACCACTCAAGGCAGCACTTTAATTACACAAAGGTGCTCACGATCATAAAAAGGCTCTGCTCTTGCTCAAACATGCTCAAAACATAGCCTGCAGTTCTTGGCATGGTGACACTGGGCAAGAAACACTCAGCTCCCACAGAGATGGAAATTTTAAAGCTGGAAATCCTTTCCAGAGAATTCTCTTCTCACAGGTTTTCTCTAAAGTATCTAATAAGCATCTTGGTGTGGCCTTGCAGAGGAATAAATTCAACAGCCATCATTAAGATCCAAATCCTGATCATTAAGAACGAAATTCAGCTTGCAAATCCACAATACCTTTGCTTGTACTTCAAGGAAAGCTCTTTCCAATATGCAGTTTCCTCCTTTGGACTCAAAAAAGTAGGGATTTCTTCACTGTCCATGATCAACACGACCTGCAGGACACAAACACAGGGATACACTCAGGATAAAGCTGGGCACAGCACCCCAAAACTTCTCTACTCAATCCTGGCAATCCAGCCATGGCACCAGGACTTGGCACCCACAGCCAGGATGTCAAGAGTCCCTCCAGGGCTCATCCAGCACCCAGACGTGCCCCAAGGAGCCCCAGGACCTTACCCAGCCTCTGCAAGGGCTGGTGGAGCAGCCTGAAATGAGAGCAGAAGTTCTGGATGTATTTTGGAGCTGCCCCCAAAACTCCAGGGGTGCCACAAGCCCACTCAGGCCCACAGCTGGTAATACACTCAAATTTACAGCTATCATTAAATGTTTTTAACGAAGAGATTTTGCCTCCTGCCACCACACAGTGACTGCACTACAGCTGCTTTTAGAGCTGCAAAGGAGAGCAGCGAAGGAGGGTGAACACTCCAAGTGAGGCAAGCACAAACAGCTCTGTGTGGAGATCAAAACTCAACTTATTCTTCCTGCAGCACGTCCTGGCTAATTCCTGCTTGTGTCACACGCAGGGGACAGGAATTATCCACACAGTCCTGCTGCCTCAGACAGCCACAGGGAAGATCAGCCTGTCCCATAAATGACATGGTCACGTCCCAGAGAAGTCTCCCAGCCTAGAGGTGCTCAGAGAAGTTTCCCACACCAAGGCACTGGAGATCCCCTCTCCGTGAAGATCCTGCTTTTTTGGAGGAAAACTCCCCAGGCTATCAGCCAGTACAAGAAACAGAACCCAACACACCTTTGGTATGGTTTTACATGGTCCAGGGGATACAAGGCATCAGCACACACCAGGCCTCAGAGGTGATGAAGGAGACAAAATACAGAGCAGGACCAGGAAAACGCTCAGACCCCAGGAGATGCAGCATTGAACAGCTCCTTAAGGCATTTTTTTTCTCCTCAAAAAGCCCAGCCTCAAATTCCATCCTTACCACCCCAAAAAAGAACAGGGTGAGGCCAAGCTCCCCTGTGCTCCAAGCAGAGGCTGTGAACAACGCCTCACCAAGCCCATTGATCAGAAGAGCTGACCTACAAGTCCTGACTCTAACAGCCATCCCTTCCCAGCCAACTGTGTCCCTTCAGGCTAAAACTGTCACACTAATGTGCTCTGTATCTCAGTGACCCACATTTTTGACACCTAAAAGTGGGCCAGAACAATCCCCTGCTTTCAGAGGGCAGCCAGGCCAAGCACAGCGAGGCAGAACTGGCACACTGGCTCTCCAGCTGAGCCTGCAGCTGCCACAAGCCAAGAGCAAATTGATCCAGAGAGGGCCAAGCACCTCAAAACCACCTCAAATCTCACACTGTGTTTATTTAACTGCACAGCTTTACTGCAGGAGCAAACGTGTCCTGGCTCAGGAGAACGGATGGTGTTTCCTTCCCTGCACTGAGAAGTGGAAAGTACCTGTGGAGCCATTCCCACCCCAGATTTCAGACTGGATTTTCTTTGGGAGTACTTGCATCAGCTGTTACCAAGACAGCTCAGGCACCCCAGAGGGAAAACCCCAAGCCCTGTGCAGAAGCCGTGGATGTGGAGTTCTGTATTCCTGCAGCTCCAGGGTGGGAGCAGAGACCTGACTCAGCTCAGGTGTGTCCAGCAGCCCCTGGACAGCGATTCCCAGGACAAGGCACTGCTGGGTGCTGTCCATAGCACCTGCCAAGCACTGATCCAACCCTTCCACAAATCCTCCAACCTTTCCCTGACCCGCTCTACACCAGCACACCGAGAGGCTGAGCCCAGCAGGGAGCACACACATCCCAGAATAAACCAGATAAAGCACAACACAGGCTCAGCTCCCACAGCCCCAGAGAGGCTGGGCTCAGAAGGTGAGCAGCCAAGGGGGCTGTCAGTAAAATTCAGGATGTGGCTAGAAAAGAGCTTGCACAAGGAAGCGTCTTACATCATTTCCTAGAAGCAGCTGAGATAAGGCACAAGACTCCTTCCCGTCTGCTCACACGGGGCACACCCTTGGATATCAACAGCTGAGGGATCCCTGCAAGCACAGCAGCCTGAGCAAGACCAGGAAGGGCAGCCTGGGGCTCCCAAGGACAGGAGGTGTGTTTGCACCCCACCTTTTCCTTCCACACACTGCAGAGAGGAGATTCAGCCCAGCGCTGCCTCAGGCAGGAATTCTTCCTTCCCAACCCACCCAGATCTTCCCCAGCCCTCTCGTCCTGCTTGGTGAAGGGGGTGGTAGGTGATGACTGCCCCTGCTGCATGTGGCCCACCACCCCTAATGCCATCAGCAGGGATTTGAGATCTGCTGACTGCTCTGCAGAAAGCCCTGCTGCAGATGCCAATGCCAGCGTGCACTGCTGAGCTCCAGCACCCATATCCCGCTTTTTGTCACTTGTATTCCCACGAGGGGCAGGACAAAGGGATTAGAGCACACAGAGACCCTGCAAACACCATGCTTCACGGCCAAAATATCAACCTGGGAGCTGGGAGATGCTGACTCTTCCAAACCTGCTCCCAGAACACACGTGGCCATGGGAAAATCCTCCACTCCACCAACCTCTGCCCATTCCCTCAGAATGATGGCACAAAACCACGGATTGTGCAAGCAGAGGGCAAATCCCAGGAGTTACCAGAACACAACCAGACAACTCCACACATCTCGTGTGTGGGAGAGCAGATGCCCACGGAATACCAAGAGTTTAACAAAAACTGCTTTGCCTCAGCCTGCTGCCTGTTGTCCCAGCCCTGGGAATTCTGTCGGGAGCTGAGAACCAGCACGGCCAGTCCTTCCTATTCAGGGCTTCTTTGCTTACGTGGCACTTGCAGGATCCAGCCTTTGACAAACAACACTGAGGCTTTCAGGGAGCAGACAAGACAATGCAGCGGCGTCTTCCAGGGAAAATGAGAGCAGGCTTATGCTGCTGCCCACTCCAATTCATTCCAACACAGCTCAGCATTCACGCAGTGCCCTGGGAAAACACAGCTCGGTGGGCACAGCTCCAGCTCCAAAGCTGCTCCCAGACAAGAGCTACCTTCAAAACACCGGGGCTCCTTTCAAGCCCCCCCGACAAAGTCAGCAGGACCCAGCAACTCTCCACTGTGAAAAGGAAAGAACTTCTCCACGCTGCAACGACTCTAAAAAAACACAGTGTGGAGGTTAAGAGCTTGTTAGAATCCAGAGGGGTTCGTACAGGACAAATCTGTTTTCCCACCTCGAAAGCATCTTTAAAAGGAGAGGAGCAGTATCCTCTGGATATCACAAGAGCCAGAGGCTCAAGAATGCACCAGAAGTAACCTAGCTAACATGCAGACAGGATTTTTCAAGTAATTTACAGAATCTTGCATTCAAGGCCAACCCCAAACCTCTCTGGAGCTACCTCCTAGCTAAGCCACGAAAGCACAAACCCAGCTTGAAGTGTAACACAGTACCTTAAGCAAGCTTCCCAGGCTCTCCATGTGACAGGAGACTGCAGCGAAGCTTGGGATGAAATCTAAACCCAAAACACTCAGCCTGGAATCCAACAGGACTCTCAGCTGGGACCCACCCCTTCCCACAGCGGGGAATCCACTCCTCCCTGCTCTCAGAGTCACTCAGTCACTCACACGTCACGGCAGGGATGACTCTGAGCCCTGCAATTCACCCCAATGTACCTGCAGCATCTCAAGTGGCTGCAGAAAGAATTCCTCCTGGTTTTAATTGCCTCACACTCTCCCATTTAAAACCTGCTCATAAATGCTGCCATATGAAGAGAATATTATTTGATCTTCGTGCACATTTTTCTGCACGTTTTTCTGCTTTCTCCCTCACAACCCCATTTGCCCAATATTTTCAGACACTAAAGATGAAAAAATAAGCAGAAGCAAAGCAAGGCCACTCAAACAGGACCAACCACAGGGCTGAACTCCCCCAGCCACGCTTGGCTGCTCCCCCCTCCCTTCAAGGCACCACAAATGCCCACTGACCTCTGGAATTAAACAAGCAACCGGCTCATACAGGACTTGATCGAGAAGTTCTGCCAAGCTCACATGTGGCCTTCAGGTCTGGAGATAAGAAGGCACTCTGGCTATCACAGAATGTCCAAGGCCTGCTGGCTGCCAGCCCCCCCTTCTCGCAGGCAGCGACGCCGTCACCGAGCGCTGGCACCATCCAGAGCTGCCACGCACAGCAGGAAGGACTGCTCACAACCAGCTCTTCTTCCTCTTCCTCCTTTTTGCTGATTCACAGGCAGAAAAGCAGAAGGAATCTTGTTTCCACCATTCTTCACCTTCCCAAAGCACGAGGAACCAGGTAACCTCCAGCTCCTGAAGCTCTGGCTCTCCTCCCCGCAAACCCAACCGAGACTCGACGCAAGGTAACCCGAGCACTCCAGCCAAAGCCAGAGCAAACGTGCACCGACTTACTGGAAGATGGAAAACAAACAATCAGATGGCACAGCTCAGATTTCACCAATCGATCTGGGCTTGCTCAGCCCGTGCTGGAACAGGAGCCGGCGGATTTCCACACACGCTGGGATGTGTGCCTGCATCCATGAAACTGAACCTCTGGGAAGCGAACCTTCCCCTGCAGTTCTATTTCTGAACGGAATGTTCTCCAGTGAGCCACAACAAATGCCTCCTTCTCTCTCACAACAGCAGCACGGGAGCTTTCAGGAAGAGGAGAAAGTCACCGAGCACAGCGTCAGCACAACGCTCCTTGCTCTGCTGCAATCATAAATCCTGCATTTCCAATTTGGGAGCACAGGAGGCTGGAGATAACCAAACCTACCTGCAGGAACTTGGTGCCAAATTCAGAAAAGCCTTGAAGATAAACCAAGCACCACACAGCAAAGCCTTGTTATCTCAACAGCCTCATTAATCAAATATAACATGTCTGCTCTACACCACATGGCCAAGACTCATCTGTCTGGTGAATATTTGATAGCCAGTCACAAGAAAACCCTTGAAGAGTGAGCCAGCACTGGGTTAGAAGTCTTGAAACTAGAAGAAATGCACTGATGCAAAAAGCTTCCCAGAAATCAACCTATGACTACAGAAAATATGAGAATTTTGTAATAAAAAACATTTATTGCTTTCACAAACATGGGCAGTTTCAGACATCTGATGGCTGCTCCTTCCCAAGTAACCTCACTGAAGTGACTGAAAACGCAGAGGTTGGTGCTCCTGCTGCAGGCTCAGAACCTGCAGAGGTGAAGGAAAGGCTCCTGGAGATGTGCAGGTCCCAGAACACCCTGGCCTGGGCACGGGGACAATCTGCTCCCAGCTCCAGAGGGATGAATCCACACAGAGAGGAGTAAACAGCAAACTGAGAAGGAAATTCAGCCTGTGGAAAGGATTTGCTCGTCCCTGCCTCACTCTCTGCTCTCTCCTGGGCAGGCTGGTGAGGTGTGGCGGGCAGCAGGAGCTCTGATCCCCACCCACAGCAGCTGGCACAGGCTGCCAGGACCCCAAACCCTCTGCAGCCCACCCAGCCACCTCCTCCTGCTCCTGCCCTGCTGCCTTCCCTTCACACCCTGAGCAGTGCCAGGGCATCCCAGGCAGCAGCAGTGCCCAGCCTGGCAGGGACACCTGCACCAGGGACAGCTCCAGGTCCCCCAGGTCACCCCAGCAATCCAAAGCATCCCGATGACAGCACCTCCTGGCAAGGCAGTGGCCAGAGGGTGACACACTTCTGACACCACACAGTGACCCAGGAATTCCAAGGGGAGAGCACTCAGCAGGGATTTCTGCCACAAGGACTGAATTCTGCTGCTTTTACAGCTCTGAAGTTCTACCAGTGCTGGGGGGGTAAAATGGATTTGAAAAATACCCCCCAAAATAGATCACAGACCAGCCCCCAGCAGAGAGAGGTTCTGAACAGAATATTAAACAGAATGTTAACAGAATATTAAAAATAACCCCCTAATCTCTGTGTTGATTAGGAGAAGGAACCAGCACAACCTTCCACTGAGTTCTGGGGACAGAAGAACCCTCGAGGGGCACAAGCACATCATGAAAAATCTGCTCTGGTGGGTCTGGCTTTGTCTGGGGGTGAGGGCAGCACAGCAGAGCAGGCAGTTTGTGAACACACTCCCCACTTTATCTTGATTCTGTTTGTGGTGCCACAGACATCAAGGGCTGCAAAAATACCATTTCCTTTCTGCAGTCTGACTTTCCTGGCACCTCAAAAAACCAACTGTAATGCTCTGAGGGCATGCACTGTGCTTTGCTGCTGTGCTTCCTGGCAGTCTGCTGCCAGCAGTGTCTCCAGACAAGATTCCTTGTGACACCAAGGTCACAGACATCAGCAGCCTCGTGCTTTCTCTCCACTTTCCTATTTTCCTTTCTCTTCTCCGTCCTCCACCAAACGAGGAATTATCTTACGAATCTGCAAACTCTAAAGAGTCAGAGGGAAAAAAGGGAGGGTGTTCCCCTGAGGAGGAAGGAAGGCAACTCAAACACTGACTCAAACACTGCCCCTGAACACTTCCTTCACTTCTGGGACTCCCAGTGACAAGTTTAATTAAATTATTAAACCTTCTCACCAGGGCTGTGCCTCCACATATACAACAATACAGAAATGCACAGCCCAGCCAGGAAACAGGACAGGGGATCTCTTCTAGGGCAGAGCTAACACTATTAATGCCAGATCCACACTCCTTACCCAGCTCTGCCACAGTTAACTGGCACCATCAGCCAGCCTGCCTGTGCAGTCACGCTGCAAACACGTCAAACTGGCATTTAAATAAATAAATATAGAAGCACAGAATTATTCATGTTGGAAAAGACCTCTGAGATCATCAAGTCAACCTCTGACTAATCACCACCTTGTCAACCAGACCAGGGCAATGAGTGCCACATCCCAGGAGCTCCTTGAACACCTCCAGGGATGGATGGATGGGGTCTCCACCACCTTTTCATATCTAAAAGCTTCCCAGTCTCTTTTCTGCCTTGGGACAGCTTCTTCCTCTTACAGTTGCTGATATCTCTAACAAAACACTGACCTTGGAAAGGCCACCAGCTCTCAGCAGGAACAATTCCTTCCTCAACAAGGAATTATTTCTTTGCGGGGGGTGGGGTTTGGAAAAAAATGTAAAGGAAGAAAAAAAAATTTTCTGAAGTATCCAAGGAACTCTTCTGTAGCAATTTCTTGTGTTTAACCACCTCTCAGGCAACAAATGCCAGAGGCATCCAGACCCTGCACTTGTGAGCAAGTCAAGGCAGGGAGAAGAGAGAAACCCTGAGTCACTCCCAGCACAGAGCGGGCTGTGGGTGGGAGAGAACCCTGCAGGGATGTGCCGGTGGGAGAGGAGAACCCTGCTCCTCCCGGGAGGGACAGGGATGTGCCGGTGGGAGAGG